AAGGCATGTGGAAGGCCTGCTTGGCACTCAAAATTCTGAAAGCTGGAATTCAACATGGGCATTTGGAATGAAATCAATGAGCTTCTGGTGCAGGAATCTGCCTTATTTTTATTCTGTATAGTACAACACATTTTTATATATCAACAGATGCATTTTACTATGCCAATAAAGTCTTCAGACTCTGCTGTTAAGACTCTGTGGTTTCAATAGTGGATGGACGAATGAAATTAGTGTCTGCAGAGTTTCTGCACTAAACATCCATGGTAAAATACATCCCAACATCTCACACCCATCAAACCCAATAAACTGAATTTCCCCAGCACCTCCCTCTAATCCACCATATCACAATGTCTACAACTTCTGCTCCTCCAGTTAGATCATTTGGAGTGCCTACATTTGCTTTCCATGGGATCAGCTGATTTTTTTCCACCAGCAGCTAGAAAGGACTTACCTCATTAGTAAAGAGCTGTCAGAATGACAGCTTTCTAGGAGATTTGTTTGAGTTCCAGCAAAGCCAGGTGCTGACCTGGCCTGAGTTGTAAGCAGAGCAGTGCACACAGAAGAGTGCAGAAGAGAACAGGTAAGTCTGGTGGGCATGTTGGTGTACAGTCATGACTCGTGTGTTCATAGATAAATGTCCTGGCAGACCACAGACTTACACATTATTTTCCAGAGCTCATTGCAGTCACCAGCACCTGACTCTTTCAAGAGTATTCAGCAGTATGATCATTTTAGCACTTCTATTCACTCACGACAACTAAAGACGGACAAGCTTTCAAAATATATCACTACTTGCAGCATAATTTCCCTGAAGATGTTTTTTACTGTCAATTCAACACAGTGGGTTTCTTTGTGTCAGGTAAAAGCTGAAGCATATTTTTATTTCTGGGTAACAAGCAGCCACTTGGCTACAGAGACTGCACTGGTCTTTGTAGATCAAAGAAAGGTCACTTCTGCCCAGTCACATCAAGAAACCTAAGAAGAGAAGCAACACCAGGAGCTGCTCCTGAAAACTGAGCATCCACCCAAATATGTGCTGACTGTAAGGTCTAAGGCCTCAAAAAGCATCCTAAAGTCTAACCTTTGCCAGTAAGGAAATTTATTTGCAGCCATAACAATGGATTCATTTAGTAATGTGCTTCATCAAATGCCAGGCAGCAGGTGGAAATAGGTCAGGGCTCAGAGGAAAAGCTCTCAGAAAACAACCAAAGTACTTTTAAGTGAAAAAGTCCACAGAGGTTTGTTCTTTCTCTCTCCTCTCCCTCAGTCCTGTTTGTCATGGTTTGGGCTCACAGGGTCATCTCCCAGAAAAGACTTGAAAAAACCTTTCACCAAAATCTCTTTTCAAATCAAGCGAATTCTCTCAACATAGTGTCTGGGGTTTTTTCATTTCTGGCTAAATAAAAAGAATTTCAGAACTGGAGGGCAGTTTGGTTTATTTCTACATAGCTGAGAAGTTGAGATTTATTTGATCTGATCTCCAAGTGAAGTGTAGAGGGAAAACAGGATACTGTATTTGGCAGCAAATATGTGGCAATCACACAAAGTAAACTCTTGATATATCTGTAATCTCTTCATTGGCTTATCCCTGATTCAGTCTAAGGCTCTGGAAAAAGCTACCAAACCTCTTCATGTGAAGTGTGAGATGGAACTTATTAGTCATGGCAATTTGCTTCTTATGGGATGCTGGCAGTCAGAGAGCACAGTGTGCTGAAAAAGCCAAACACAGAATCATGAGCCTCTTAGTCCTCCTTGGAGGTACCAGAGAGAAGAGAGTTCCAGGTTAGTTTAGCACACAGAAGTTGGACATATGAAGGAAAGCATGAGGAGAAGTTGAACTTACAAAGCTTTAGCGATTGGCTTTTGACAATTTTTTTGGCTTTTGATCTTTTTGGGTTTTGTTTTCTTCAGCCCATAGTACACAAAGACATTTGCCGTAAATCCATTAAATCTGAGGGATGAGAAAGTTGGTTCCAGATTATAAAGGGACGTAATTCTAAAAGGATGCATCTAGAAAACCAGAGGTGCTTCCAATGTCTCCTCCCGACATCACTTTTTTTGCACCTTTTTCTTATTATATTTTAGTTCCCAGGTGACAAGACACTATTCACTGAGAAAAATAGATTCATCTATGGCTATTTATATTTTCAAAAATTGGACAGTGTCTCTCCTGTTCCTTCTGCCTCATTCTAGACAGATGAAGATAATCTTATTTCAGGCAGACAGAACATACACATAGGTATCCCACATACTTGCACATCCCATAATTCCTTGGCAAAAGTGACAGATTTCAGGGTATTTGTCAGACACCTAAAAACACTACCAAGGCATATGAGGCTTGAAAGAAGCAGCAGGATGAGCCAGGAGTTCCCTCCTCAGTCAAACAGCGGGAGCCTCCCCTGCATCCCACAGGTGGTGTCCATACTGTCCAGCTGCAGGGCAGCTTGGCCTCCACGAGTTGGTTTGGGCCTCTCTCCCCACTTCAGGTGAGCCCAGGGGAGCCATGACCACCAGCTCTTACTTCAGCAAGGGCTGCAGGGAGTCAAGTCCCTTCTCTGCTGCTCAGGAACAGCTCCCCAGGTCCGTGCCTGTGCCTCGCAGCTGTTCCCCATGCCCTGCCCATGGGCTGCCCTCCTCTCCTCTCTCCTTCCCTTGCAGCTGTGGGGCCAGAATATTTTCTGTCCAAACACCACAACATAACCTGCATATGCACATGGGCTGAAACCTCATGCAGAGGCAGTGTAGGGCTGGGGTAGGGCAGAATGGCCTTTTTTGCAGGGCAGGAGGGTCAGGGCAGGGTCAGTGCCATGTGAAGTGGTGGTTTGGCAACTCAGGAGTGCTTGAAACCTGCTCTGTTTTCCTCCCTGCCCAGCTCAGCGCAGTCTGTGCCAGCTCTGGGATCTGGTGCACTGCTAGCAGCTCCACCCCACCCAGGCTGATGAAAATAACCAGTCATGTTTTCCTTCTTTTTTAATTGTTTTTTGTTTCAAATGTGGGGTGAAATACCTGGCATGACAGAATGTCCTTTGCAGGGCGAAGTAAGGTAAAATTGCAAGCCATGAGGCTGAGCTGGGCCAGCTTAGCAAGAAGATGCTTCAGACCCACCAGCGGGACCTTCACCATGAGCCCATTTCTCACAGTAAAATTTCATCCATCTTGCTGCACATCCACATATTTCAGGGTGAAAAAAGGGCTAAACCAAACTTCAGAGAGATGTGGTTTTACTCTGTTTCAAGTTATTTAGTACAAATGAAAAAACTTGAATGTTTTCTTTTGGCTTTGTTGACCATTCTTTTAGCTTCTTGCCTTTTTTCTCCATTTTCCTTTAAAGGGTAGGCAAATATTTTTGAAACAGCTCACTTAGCTGGAAAGTAAAGGAAGAGGCAGTGAGAAATTGTAAGTTAAATGGAAAAAATATTTTTTGCAAACTTTAAGGAAAACACTTCTAAACGTACTGATCACTCTTTAAAGTGAATTTTGTTAGCTAATTACCTTAATTCTTTTCCTGAGTTATGAAACAAGCTACAGAAACAGATGGACAGAAGATTGTATTTAGCTGTATCTAGCATTTCTCTGTAAATTCTTAGTCCTCAGTTCCTGCATCTCCTTCCTTTGCCTTGCTTAAAATGATGCTGAAGGGGATATCAGACTAAATTGACAGCTCTGCTGAGAAAGTGACCACAGTCTATGCAGGAAGAAGTATGGTCATAACCAGGGGCTCTCTTATGTAGTTCTTAGCTCAGAAAAGATGAAGCAGATTAGACCTAGGAAAGGGACTCTGTAGAGATGTTAGTCCTCACACACTTCAGAGTAGCTCATGAACAGATGTGTAACCTTACTCCAACCTGGAGCTGCCCCTTGGGTATGCTTATATTGAGGGTCACATTTGGCAGTTTTCTAGGAAGCAGAGCAGAGAGCCAGAATCAGCATCCCTAAATTCCAAAATGACTGTAGAGATATTCCAGTACCTCAGGAAGCAATAGCCTCCATAGCACCCTGAGAAAAAAAACAAATAATTGCTACCATGGCCTAGTGCAGGCTCACTCCAGACATCTTTTTTTAAGGAAGAAATTTAAGAAGCCAGAATTCGCTTGTATGACTTTCCTTGTCTCCCAGTTGTCTCAACACATTTTTGTTCTTCCTGACAGAAAAAAAAATCACTGACCCATCTGTCAATGCCATCTCTGCTCCAGTGAGCTGCTTCATGCATTTGTTCACAGAGGGCTGAATAATGGACCAGCGCCAAAGTCCTAATCAGGAGAAAAGCTACTAGTAGTTACAGCTCCTCAGCATTATACATGTTTCTGAGTGTGACTGATTAAGACTGTTGTTTGGAACAGGGGAACTGTGTCAGAGGTGCCACATCCCATAAATTAGTTTAAGCTGAGGTAATGTATGCACCAAGATACAGCAATACGTCTGCTAGCTCAATGAGTTTGGCAAGCAAATGTCTGGGAAAACAAGACCATTTTCAGGCACTTCATCCAACTAAGACAGAGTGGCACAACTGAGGAGACCCTTACAGGAAAAAACTTTGTCTTTTATTTATTTTTTAAGGGGAAAGAAAATAACTGAGAAAAAATGTTGGTGTCCAGACTCCGTTAAGTTAGACAGGAAGAACGGTCTAGTTCTCAAAGCAAGGCATTTGCCACTAGGGACTCCTGAGTTTTAATCCATCCCCTCTGCAACCTCTGTAGTGCTCTGCAGAAAAGTCATTTAATTCTAGTCCACACAGTGAACTTTGTATGCTGCTGAGCAGATTAGTCATACAAGTGTGTTCCTTTCTGTGGGACTACTCATGTGAGGAAGTTATCAATGGCAAGAGGGGGAGCAAATCTGGCCCTCTGTATGGAGTCACACAGAGGGAGAAAAAGCTACCACAAGTTTTAATTGGTATGACCTCCTTGGAGGAAAAACTATCTGCAGTAATGCTGGAAGAAATTGTAAGAAAATTAAGGTACTTCTGAGAGGAAGATCTGTTAATCAGAACAGCAGTCTAATAAGTTACAGAAGCTTTATTGACTGTTTCAAATACAATTAACTGGACTAAGGAATTGCAAATGCAAGGAATCAAATAAACACATTTCACCAGAGACATTGAGTAAATGAGTGATTAGGAGTTTTGTGTTTGTAGCACCCATCACTTCTTACAGCAGGTGACTAAGACACCATACTTGCTGGCAATGCAGATGGGAACCCAACCAAAAGCCACCTAAAAATGTGGTTTTTCTTTTGAACCAGAATTGGAGTGTAGTTTTGGAGGCTTGTGGTACGTCAACTAGAACCAGACCCTCTCAAAACTTACTTCAGCTATTTAGCAAGGGAAGATAGATAATATTTTCTGTGCCTCAAGCTCTGCTCCACGGAATCCTTTCCAGCAACTGACTGTTGTGAGTCAGGTGCAAGAGGTTAAAGAATTGTTAGTGATCTGAACTGAAACTGAACAGGAACGATTTTGGCTCCAGATTAACCTGAACTGGAAAGGAGGTAAAAAAGCAACTTGCTTGATCTCCTGATGTGACAACATCCTTGTGATGTTACAATTTCTTAATCCCATTGATATACCTGAGGAGAAATCTGATGTGAAGCAATTATAGGAAACCATGTTGTTAGCTCACTTGGAAGTTACAGTGTACTGGAGGACATGTATCATAGTTTATTCATTCTTTCCATACCAGAGAGAGCTCTCTCTGAGCGGAGTTTAGTCCATTTTCCATTTGGAAATATTCCCCTTTAGAAGTCCATGACCTGCGAGGGTGGTTGTTCTCATTTCTGGGGAAAGAAAAGAAAACCTCCATGAATTCCAAGGACTTAGTGTCACTGATTGTGTTGTGTTATCCAGAATTAAAGAGCTTTAATGACCATTTACACTAAAGCCTTTAGCACTGCTCAGGCAGAAAATTATACTGTCTCCTGCTTTCATGTTCCTGCAGTCTTACATTGTTAAGAGCTTTAAAGTGCCTGAGAGAAGCACAAGGGCACAAAGATAAGGTTTGCAGCTTTCAAAAGCCTGTGTACAAAGGATAGCAGAGAAATCCACAGCCCAGGTTCAGGCCTTGCCCCTAGACAGTTATGTTGGCTCTGTCCAGGTACAAAAACTACTTCAGAAACGGTTTAACATGGAAATCTATTTGGGCTAATTGACCTTGCTGAGAAGATGAGACACCTTCATACATGGGACTGGCTCACATTTCTCTCCAAAATACTGTTCTTGAGGCATGCTTGAGCATCATGTGGCAGAAATTATATTGGGTTATTCAGCCCAAACTCAGATGAGGCATGAGGGACCTCATACTCTGTAAGCATTCAGTCATAGAAAGACCACACATCCATCCAGCATATTCAGATATGCAGCATGTAACTTACACGTTACAGGAGACTGAGACTTACTACTGCAAAGGCAATTTCTGGACAGCCTGAAGAGCAGGACTGTGCTTAGCAGTCAGAAGTGTTGGGGCTGCTTGGAATTTGTAAAGGAAAGCGAGTTAAAGTAGAGGGCAACAACTGTGCGTTTTGTGCAGCAGTTGGCTATGCTGCCAGTGAAAGGAAAAACAGACTCAAGTTCATAAGCACTTCATGATCCCTTGCTTTGTTTTCCCTTCCCTCACCTAACACCTTTCAAACTACCTTATTAATATAAACCTCTCATTCATTACACAGAGGTTTAGTATTTGCAGGAGTTTTAGGGAGGAGTAATAGTTACACAATGGCATCTGCAGCTGTTTTACATTTATTTATCCAACAGTGTTTTCAGCTCTCTTGCCCAAAATCCAAACAGACGCCCTCTCAGGGAATGCAGTGTCTAAAGAATGCACACATACAAGGCTGTCTGAAATTTTAATTGCAGAAAGATCAGGAAGTTCAGACTGAAGGTTTGCAGAGCAGCTCTAACCCCTTCTCCCTGGGTGTATCACGTTGTTACAATAGGGTCTTTCATTACATAATCATGCACAATGGGCAACTCAGCTTGCTGTTTGCCATGTAGAACCATCTCACACACTGCAAAGGGCTTCAACTCCTTTTCTGTCACCTCAACGTCTTTATTATCCTTAATACTTTTTTACTACCTTTTGGAATTGTTAGGAGTGCTAATAATGTTCTGAAGAACCCTACAGAACTAGTTACTAGAGAGCCTGCATGTCTAAAGTAAGGACATAATTTCAACAAGGTGTTAAGTACATTCATATCTTGAAGAACAGTGGTGGACTCACTGATTAATGCACTCATGACAGTTTAGGTACATCTTGTAACAGTGCCCAGGTGAGTAACAGGACCCCACAGATGAAGGAGGGGATTGATTCCAAGTTGTCCTAATGGTTGCAGTGCTGCACAGAAGTCAATAAAGTAACTTGTCATTAATCACCTTTAAAGCTGACAAAGTAATGTAAGCAACTGTTTTAAGATGAGTTTGATGAGTTCATGAAGAGCGAAAAACTAGGGAATAACATAAAAACCCCCAGATTCAGAGAATCTACAATTCTTACCCATCACTGTGGTCCTCTTTTCCTCTATACTCATTTGGTTTATGCATCAGTGACCCAGTTCTGCAACAGCAGTTCAGGTGTTACTGACATGTCCCATAATTCTGGATCAGTCACCAGGGCTGATGCTCTGTAAGAGAATTCAAAATCTCTCATAAAAATGTGAATCATTTTATGTAAGACACCAAACAAAGCAAGCCTCTGCCTCTGTAGACAGCTTCAGTGGGGTCTGACTGATTCACCTGGCACATATAAAATGTACAGAATAATTATAGAAAGGCTTGGATGCAAAAAAGATGCTTTGTTTTTCCACATGGTTAATGTACATGCTCATCTGGGAAAGCACTCTGCCTCAGCTTAAAACATTCCGAAGAGGCCAGAACATTAAAAACAACAGAAACACAATGAAAAGGGATATTCTCCTTATCAGTGTCAGTGGGCAAGCCATCAGCTTTGATAAAGGTAAATCCCTGATGTTGACTGGAACTTTACACAGTTTTGTTCCAGATTCAGATGTTGAACCTTTTCTTCCCCATGTGAATGTAATAGTGCTTTGATCAAGCATGAAGGGTAAATGCAATACAATAGATGTAAAGCTAGATTGGATCTAATTCCAAACTTCCCACATCCTCTCCTAGCTGTGGAGCTTTCAGGTACTGGCTTTACCTCTCCTTTCCCATCTCTCAGTGCTAAAATGTCCTCAAAGATGTTCCTGCACAAAAGAAAAGAAGATAAACTGAATCAGAGGGAATGTTAGTCTCCTACAGAATGATATATTAATTTTACAGTACACTACATCTCAAGCACTAAGCCAGGATTAATTTATATAGCTGCTGATTAAAAAAGTGAAAAGGACCTCACATTGCACAAAACAAATGAACAAATGAAAGGATGCCAGCCAGATGCTGGACCAAATGTCTGCCTCTGCCATTAACATATGCTGCCTCAGACTTTCCAGGAAGTCTGCTTGAATGGCACTGCTATGGCAAAAAAAAATGCTTGGTTTATTCAGTCATGGACACCATACTCCCAGGATCTTCAGGATTCCTTGCAACATTTTCAGCAGTTAAGCACTGCATCATGAAGAATTTGTAGGCAGAGCTAAGATTCCAGATTCCTGCCTGCATGTAACGATGTGCTTCTGCCCAAAGCAGTATGGGCTTAATCCTAGCCCAGCTGCTTCATTGCATCTCATTACCAGAAATCAATCTTGAGGAAAATTCAGTTTAAAGATAATATGCAACTAATATATGCTGCATAGTGCTCATTGTATGTGTTGCAAAGGGATGTCAACCTTTTGACTGGATGTGTCATAGTCTCTCCTTTGCTGAGGGCTTTGAGTCAGGAAGATTTTCTTGAAGGTAAGTGCTAGCTAGTAGAGTTAAAGATTATTGTGAAATCCTAGGCCACATAGAATGGAAGACAAGTAATGATCATAGATTTTTCTCTGCAAAACATCTGTTTACATAGATAGCAACTCACTGGTTGCGCAGAATCTTTAGACTCTACAAAGGTCGACACAAACCTACACATTCCCACAAAAATACTTTATATACCAGTGCGACAGCTATTGATGGAGCATTTGTGTGCAGGGTATTGGGAAAAGTATTGATCAAACATCTTTTTTCTGACTAGACTGCTGGGATTAATTTTTACGTTTTTAATAATACTTTATTCCCCAACTCACTCAGGCCAACAGGCCATTTGAGCAATCCAGAAAAGCCACAAAATGTGATTAGGACTTGGTACAATAGAAATTTTCTTTCTTTCCAGAAGAAGAGGGAAAAGAGAAATTCAGAGAGTTGGTAGAAGTGCCTCTTGGTTGAATTACTAAAGTATGATATAATGCACCTTGGCTCTCCCTCACAACTTGGGAGCAGTTCAGGCTGCTGTTCCTGCCTGCAAATATTCAGGGCAGGCACCATGAAAGCACACCTGAGCACATGCCAGGGAGAGGTTTTGGCTGAGGTCAGGGCTATGATACAGACTCAGCTGCAGTGTTTCCTTGTTAATCAGGGTAAGTCAATCGTGGTCATTGGAGCTGTGGAACAGCTCCAATCACCACAATTGATTTACCCTGATTAATATACAATCAGGTCCAGATTATAACTCAGATAAGGTGAAAGCCTGTCTACTTCCATCCTTTCCTTTCCAAAGCAATTTTAAATATACATTAAAATAAACACCAAAAGTGAACACTTTGTCTGTAAAGCCTGTCTACCCACCACTTGGTAAGGCAGGCTGTATCACCTTGGCCAGGATCCTTCTTTGACTCATCCCATTTTTATTCACATGAATATTCCAGGGTTCTGTGGTTAAATCCAGGATAATTCAGGGAGAGTTTTTCCAGTGTTTACATTAGGACAAGAATTCACACTGAGGAGTAAGTGCATTCCTTTAAAGTTTTGTTTAGCACTAGTTTAACAGCTTTCCATATCTTTTTTCCCCACTGTGAGAGCTGCACAGGAGTAGTGTAAATCCATCTCAGTGATACTTCATGTGTAGCTTTAGGCTTCAGTCATCCATAGATTGCACAGTGTGCCTTGCTGCAGAACAAGCTGCAGCTGGAGCTGTTGGTGCTTGTTTTGATTCAGACGTTCACTACAATGACAAGGAGCACAAAACAATCAAAGAGATTCAGGAATAACCAAGTTTTTATCACAGATTAGAGAAGACTCCCTGTGTTAGTGGTAATTCCTCTCATCCCTCCTTCCTTTGGATAAAATGCTTCTGTAATCTATTTATTCATGGTGCTTCTGAAAACAGCTGGCTGCTTCCAATGTTTCCACTTTTCCAATGGAGCATGGTTAAGGGACCTGGCTGCAGAAAAACTTCATCATCTTGGCCTTTGGCTAAATGAACAGCATTGAGTCTGGCATTAGCCTCTTCAGACAATAAAGATAATATGCTAGAAACCAGAAGCTCTGAAGGAGCAAATAAGAGAGAAAAAAGCCACCAAGGCTGGATAACAGACACACCAAAAGTCCTGATGGGACCAAAGGACAGAATGGATGAACTGCAAATGAAACAATGGGCTTCTTTTATGCATGGCAATTTCTGTGATGGATGACTAGAAGACTTGAGTATTGCATTACCTACTCATTTCCTAAGACTTAAAAATGTGTTTATTATGTCAGAATGAGAAATAATGCATTGAACTTTATAGAAGCATTATATGAATCAATGGCACACAGTTGCCTGTAATACTGTATTCACCTCCAAAAGAGCCACAGAGGACTTACCAGAGTTAAGTAACAAATATGCCTAGGAGCAGAAAGTTTCTGTACAGGGGAGACTGAGGCTATTAAGATCAGAATGAAGATGCTTAAGATAAACCAGGAAATTATCCAAAACCATTACATTATTACTGAACATTGGATGACTGCCACAGAGGCTCTGTAAATCTGTAGAGCAGTTTTGAGTACCATGAACTTAATCTTATTGCTGTCACATACATGCAGTAATTCTGAGGGGGAAACTTGGCCCAGATTAACATCAGACTGAAAAGGTTAGTAGTGTGCTTTAAAGTCCAGTTCGCGTCTCAGAGAGAAGAAAAGAAGAACCCAGGCAGCCACTGCAGCAGTCACTACAGCCAGGAATTTGGTGGCATACAGAAAGGAAATGAAAATTTCATAGGGGAAAAAAAATCCACACAGAGGCAGAGGAAGTGACTGAGAGAATACACTGTGAGGTATATTGTGCTAGGCACAACTAATTCCTCAGAAATGCAGGGAAAAAGGTGGAAGGACATAATTGCATGTAACAGTCACTATTTAGTCTTGACTAGTGATACTGTAGCAGATTTCCTGAAGCAATTAATAGGGGTAATATATGGATACAAAGTATCAGAATAGTTTTAACTAATTCTATGTGTCATTTCTTAAATTTTTGGAAATAAAAAATTGCTTACAAAAGAGAAAATGAAGTACAACAAATGATGGAAGAAATGCACTTCCCGAGTGGACTGCCTATTATTTCACAGGTTATTTTGAAAGAAGTAAAATAAGCTAAAATGAAAGACTGTGTGATAATTATTGAAATCAGGTAAGTAAGAAAGAGCCACTGCAGGACGCAGAAGAGAAAATAAAGCCTCTTTTGGAACAGCTCACTGACAGCAATGGAACAAGTTTAGCTGTAAATCAAAGGGGAATCCTCACTATAAAATGAAGCAGTGTTCTACTGCCCAAACACAGCTGAAAGGGACTGCTTTATGGTACATTGCAACATAACCAGAGAGCTTCTGTCACCCTATCTACAGCAACAGCCTTGAATATTGTGGTCCAAATTCTCTCATTTGTTGCATGTGCACAAGGATTTTTAAGGCTTTAATTTGGGGAGATTTGGCCCAAAATGAGATAAAATGGATAACTTGATAATTTTGCCTCCTTCTACACAAAATAAATTTCCTCACTGCAAAGCAGCTGCCTTTCAAATGCCTTCACAGTCTAGGAGACATTCAGTAGTCTAATTCCCTGCCAGTGAAGTCAGGCTGTAACCATGGCAGCTGGGAGTGTAAACCCTCAATGTATGAAAACGTGCAGGCTGATAAAACAGATTGTTGTACAGGTCCATATGTGCTGTGCCTGTGTGTACATTAAGCATGAAAGCATGTGGCTTTAGGGTGGGAGCGAGGCAGAGGAGAGCAGCCCAGCAAAAACCCCACCAGAGCAGCTCTGGGTAAGCTGCCAGCTGGATCCCAGCACTGCAGGAGCCCTAAGGACACTGCATGAATAGGCTGAGGGTCACAGGGCAAGGAGTCAGACAGGATGGGAAGGGATAATCCAGCAGAGGAACTTCACCCAGTGCAGACAGGCTCTGGCATAATCCAGCGGTGTTATCCCTCAAGGGGACAAGCACTAATTCCAGCTTGACCTTGGTCTAAACACTGCATTTGTTGCACAAAGAATAGCACAGAAGATGGCTGTTTTGCTCCAGTGAATGAAGGGTCTGGGGCCCAGGAACTGGCAGCACACCTATCTACAGAGAAAGGGAAAGGGACAGTCTCACTTTAATAATTTTTAGCCTGGCATTAGTTCAAGCTTTTCTTCATCCTCTTCCAGGGAAACTGGAGCCTTTGTTCCTTCCTTTCATTAAAATAAATGAATGTTTGATTGATGATCCTGGAGCCTGATATCTTCCACGTGTTAAAAGATTAGCTATAGCAGTGGCTACTGCCAACAGCACATGCTGACGTGTTGCAACCCTAATCTCCAGGGTCCTTTTTGAGGGCAAGAAGCCCATTTCCATGACCTAGTCAGCCAGTGGCCTATTTAGTTCTGTGAAGGTACAAGCACAGCAGTGATTTTGTAAAGATGGGTCTTCACCTACCAGGAATCAAGTTGTGACCCACCTGCTCATCCCAGTGAAGTTGCTGAGTGAGTAGGGAGCAGTGACAAAGTGATTTGCACAATGGTAGGTACAACAAAGCTCAGGCAAAATTGAGATCAAAATCCACAGAGTGATTAAAACCTTCCCTCTTACCATCCAGGCACACCAGTATGCTCTGAGAATGAGTGGTTCCTCCAGAGTGCCTTTTGGAGAGGGCACTGAACTGAATCTGAACAGAAAACCATTTTGAGCTGCTATTTTTTTCATCTCAGACCACACAGGAAACTATTATGATGATTTTGCTGAAGCTGAGCCAGGATGAGCAAACATTGACTTTTCTGGTTCAGAATAACAGAACAGGACTTGACAGCTTCACCAGGGACCTTTCTGCATGAGAACAGCTTGTTTCTAGCAGGCCCTGAACCTCACAGCTTTAGGCATTCACCAGCGTTCCCATCTGTTTTGCTCAAATGTGCTCTGTGATTCTGCTTTTCTCTGCAGACCTTTGCAGCAGGCTGCTTGCCACAGCAACTTTTTCCCCTGTCTAAATTGATGCTCCTCACTGGAGAAACCTGCCAAAATTTTTATTCCTGTCTGAAATGTCCTGTAAGTCTGCTGAGATCCTTCTGTGTCTGCTCCTTCCAGTTCAAGCACCTGGATACAGCCTTGAGTGCAGCTTAGATCCCAGGTGTAGATATGTATGTTCCTACACTGTGCAGGCATAAGTCTCTGTTTCTCAGCCTGTTGTCTCTGCCCAGTTAGGCGTAGAATGGCCTTGGGACAACCCGCACTCCAAAGGACGAGTGCACTCTTCAGATTTTTCGGTCTTCAATATTGTTTATTAATTCTTATCTACAAAGTCGTCTCCCAGCCTGACAGAGGTGTGCCCAGCAAGACAGCCATGGGCACACTGACCTCCCTCTGGGCGGTCGTCTATTTTTATACTAAAAACTACGTATAAGATATTTACCTTTACCTTCCAATACCTTTTACCCTTATTAACAAGTGCAGATTTAACGTGGACCAATGCCAAAGTGCCAACATCACCACCAAAGATGGATGACAAGAAGAAGAGGAGAAGGACAAGACATGCCCTAATTCCTCCATCTTGTCTCCTAAAATCCCCCCTGTACCAAAATCCCAAAACCAGTGTTTTCACCCTGTGAATAATCAATTCCTTCACCACTTATCCCCAAGTCATCCTCTTGTCCTCATACAGGTGGTACATCCTGTGCAGGGTCAAGACCCAACCACTAAGCACTTCTGGCAACATTCCAGGATTTCCGAGCCCTCCAGGGGTTATCTCGGCAACTCTGGACATCAGGAGTGATGTGCGGAGTTCCCACAGCATAGGTTTGTCAGAGAAGGCAGAGAAGCTCCTAGTCCTTTGACACTGGTGAGCCAGATTTTCCTTGCCCTGCCAAAATGCCGTAACTACTCTCTGTTGTGCTACAGCTTAGCTCCAACTCTTTCTGCTCAAAAAGGCTGACTTAGAAAGGTAGAAAGAAACAGTCATTCAGGAGGGCCAGACAGCCCTAGCAGAGAAGCAGATGGACAAATTCTTTCCTATCTTGAGGCTTGGCATGTAAAGGCATCCTCACTGCAATGATGGCCCCCAGCCTTTGTTGATACATTGATAACACCGGTGCCAGACACCATCTCTGTGAACATCATGCTGTTTTGCCACACACATATACTGCATCATCTTTATCCTGAGGTCCAAAGCAGCCCCAGTGTGGCCACATGACTCCCTGAACCTTCCTTCATCCAGCCAGATAGAATTTCTGATGATGAGGAGGACTAGAGGGCCATGGTGAACCACAGGATGGAATCTACCCAGCTGCCCAAACCAGAGTTATCCTTATATTCTATATTTGTTTAGACCTATGTCTTCTGTATGGCAGGAGATACTGCAGTAACCAGTGAGCCATCACTGGGAAGTCACCAAAAACCGTGGAGTTTTTACGTTGGGACGAGCAATAGCTTATAAGAGTTGTAAGAGTTGGAAGTTCTGGAAATAAAGCAACTTATAAATGGCTTGAAGCAACTCTGAATGGCTTAGTGTTAGATGTAGTTCCCAATTAACTATTCCTGGGGTATTTCCTTCCCATTCCCCTATACACAGAGGTTTTCTTTTAAGTAATCCCCATCTCTTCAGGTCAACTTTATTTTATAATGAGAATAAAATAGGAGGACAAAGCTGGAGACTGTGTGCAACTGAAAAGACTAAAAACGGTGACTTTTGTTTTCAGAAATATTTGATATATAATGAATTGCAAATTCAGTAGAGTACCAGCTTGCAACAGATATGTCCTTTACGAGCAAGAGCTGGGAAAGAACAATGACAAAATGAGTCAAAGATGTGGATCTCCTGGGCAGAGTGATTCTGCCACATCAGGGTAACATAAACAAGTGTGCTATATATAGGAGTGATCCTTGGGTGAATACACAGATGTTAAAGATGACCTCAAACAGAACCCCTGTTCAGATACACAAAAAAATACATAGGATAGCTGTGTTGTTTGAAGCCTGGGCTGGATGCCAGCAGCTTCCAGTTTCTCTTTTTCCCAGTTCAGTGTATCCTGACAGCTCCCAGTCTTTGTTGACATGCAGGCAGTGATAGTGAGGAAGTTATGATCTGCTGGGAACTCATGCACGGCTCTCTTTGTCTGCCCGTCATGCCCGAGGCCCCGGGGACAGACCTCTGTCTCGGGCTGTGTGCCCCTCACAGCAGAGGCTGGGCAGTGCTTTGGGAACATGCAAGTCCTCAGTGGGATTTGTCTCCAAATGAAATATTTTCACAGTCCCCCATGGCATGTTCTGTCCCACACTAAGCATTAATGCACTCCTCAAATTTAAAGCATTAAACTTGGAAACTGAAAAGGAGAGGTTTTTTAATACTTTAGCTATGGGCCCTCTCTATGTTTATGGCCTAATATCTCCTACATTCTGATGCACCATTTTACTGTGAAAGTATTAGATATTTACATCTACATTAGATCAGGGAGGATTGGAGAGATTTATACAATATGTATTCTAACACTGGCACAAAATGTTTGGGGTTTGAGAAGAAAGTATGGATTCTGTGTTTTAGAAGCAATGAAGATGTTAATGGAGAGAAAATTAAAATATGCCCTGTGACAACATAATGGTTGCACAGAATCAAAATGCTTTTGAATTCTGCTCTACGCTTCATTTTTGTGGTTTATTCTGTTCTACACTTCAAATTTATGGTTTATTCTGAACAACAATCATTAAATAATATGATGTGATGATAAATTATTAATATTGGGCAACCTCCTACCCCCTTGAGATTAGCTGGCTAGAGCATGATGATAGCAACACCAAGGTTGTGAATTCGATCACAACTGAACAATGCATTTGAAAAATTGATATGAAACAATTCATATGAACAATTCATTTAAGAGCTGGACTTGATGATCATTGTGAGTCTCTTCCAATTCAGAATATTCTGTGATCCTAATGGAAATGCCCATCTTTTAAAGAAACTTTTCCCACAGTCTTCCTCTAGGCTTCATTAAGGAAAAGTTAAGATGGCTGTAAGTATTTTATTTCTTAATAAAAATTACACAGGAGTAGCAGACTTCAAGATGACAAGTTTGCTATTATATAATATACTTCAGCTTCAGGAATAACTGAATTTGAGAGAAGACATGCTTGAACTGGTTTATACATTTTTGCTCTCTGGATCCTGTATGTCAAATCATTTGCTGCGTTCCCTTGAGAGCTGAAAGAAATTAGGTCCAATTAACCTCTTTAAAGAAGACTTCAAATGTTTTTCTGATGAATTTAATGAATTTTATTCTCCTTCTTCTTTCTGCAAATCTAAAAAATTGCTGAATTTGAACACAATTTATTCTGTCAGTACTAAGACAGAAACACACAACTCTAAAGACACAGACTAGGTAAATGCTCTACTCTACATTTTCTTGGGGCAGGAGAAGGTGTTAATATTTTTACAAAATAGTTTCATTCACTTTGCCCAAAAATTGTAAGAAAAATAGTTACTTGGTGTCATGACTTTGTATGGCTCTTTCCCCCGCTTTCTCCCACTTTGGTAAAGGTAATTTCCACTCTGTGAAAGGTCGGCTTGTGCAAACCCCTGTGTGAGAGATAGCATGGCTGGTGAAACAAATAAAGCCTGCTTACTTTCTGTCTCTCTTTCATAAAGGCATTGCTTTGGACCTTCTTTCTCTTGTTCTGCACAAAACTTGTAGGAAGACAATAATCTTTGGGATTTGCATCAGGTTCAAAAGTTTACTCCGTGAAGATGAAATCTATGGTTAGGAAAGCTAGACTTCTAACTCAGCTGAAAAAAAAATCATCCTCCTTTCACTTCAAATGAAGAAAACATTGTACACCAGAATTTTTGCCAGAAAAAAATTAGAGTGAGTGAGGGTAGGTTAGAGGCAACTTAGCCATTGTTTAAGCAGTGGGAACAAGAGGAAGAGGGCCTCCACGTTCATCCTGGTTTATTTATGTAATTTCTGATATGGACACGTATACTGCTGATCTTAAGCCCAAAATCAGCATTCTTCCTCACAGACTTGTCTCATTCAGTTAAAGACTTTATGAAGAGATTAGCAACTTAGCTCTGAATGTCCCTCCCAAAGCAGAAATTCACTGTGAAGATGCCATTCTTAGTTCCATAATTTCTTCATTATTTCACAGTAAATAATTTCTATTTATTTTCAGTGCAAGTAAAGGCAATAAAACCTAAGGATGTGGTGATGTCTTCTTGTATGACTCAAAACTAGCTACATTTTTTTATTACAACTTTATTACAATCAAAATATTTCAAGTCACTGGAATGTATTGTAGTCTGGTTCCTTCGTGCATTTGGGATCAAAAATAGCCAATATGCTTCATTTTTTAAATAGTCTTCTATATTGTAGAGCTGATTTTTTCCGTCCTAATATAAAGTTAATTAAAGAGTGCTGCATACAGTTGGATTCATTTCATAACACAGCACATGATGCACAGCTCTACCACAAAAATACTCCTCTGCTCTTTCTGTTCCTTTCTTTTTTTTTTTTTTTTTGGTTGGTTTGCTTTAACAAGGGAAATTTCATCATGTGAAATGTGCACCAGGATAAATTCTGTACTCAGCCCTTCCCACTGTTCCCCATCCAACCACATCCATTTAAAAGATGCATCCCCATTCCACAAGGATGTTCCTTTCCAGCAAGCCAAATCTTCTGCTTTGGCACAAGCACAGTAGAAAACTGGGTGATGAAGCCTAGAGCTGTGCTCTGATCTCACACCATTTGTTGCTTTGGGATATGCTCCCAAGAAACTCACTTGGCAGAGATGAAGGAGACATTTTGTACCTCTGCCACATCCCAGGCTGATTCTCTCCCTCTGACCTGACTCAAAGAAGGACTCCACATCAAAGGGAGGTGCAGCCCAAAGTCCATTCAACTCATGGCTGCTGTCAAAAGGTGCCACAAAACATGGTTGACGTAATTTCCAACCTGCATGCTGTACCTAAGAGTAGATAGGAGCCAAGCAACAAGTTTCACTGAGTGCATCAGCCCAAATCTCTACTAATATGTGCAAAAGACCTTTTTTCAGTGGAAGATTCATCACTCAACAGAGGAGAAATTCAAGGTCCTCAGGGTAGAGCACAGAGAAATGCGTATGCAAAAGAAATAAAATATCTGTCTCACTGACATCTGTCAGCATTAGTGTCATAACTTAAACCCTATCCATAATCAGATTGCTAAGTGGTTACAGTGTGGCCTTCATTTTTTTCAACCTCAGATCTCAAAGTTTGTAAGTCATAAACTTAAGAGAAAGAATTCTTTTTAAGAGCTCAAGTTATTTCACAGAGGAGGAAACTGATGCATGGTGAAGTGTTGCAAATGTGGTGATCAATTTAGGCAGCAATAGAATGGGACAATTCTGAGAAGAAAAATCTGGTGGATTTCTGGAAGAGCAGTGTTATGTTCTAATTGTTTTGAAACTAGAAGAAGGAAAGCAGAAGAAAGTTCTGATCTTTTCTTCTCAGTAAACTCATCATAGGTCAATCAGTGCTTTCAGTAACACACAAAAAAAAGATCATCTGGTTCTTCATCAGCTGTGCAATACATACTCTTCCAGTTACTCTCAGTTCCTAGCTCTTCAGAGTATTTAGTACTCTCTTTTCACCCCTTCCATAACAGAACAATAAGTACTGTAGAGACCAAAATTATTCAACTACAGAGTACGGTTTCCTCAATAAAAACCAGCTGGTACTGCACAAAACAACAGCACAGCCATGGACTAGCTTGCTGTTTGCAGTCCTGCGCTCTCAACAGTAAGAACCATATTGCTTTGTTTAAGCAGAATGCAACTCAGCATGAGCCACAAGATGAGAAAAATAGATAATGAAGACACAGCGCCCTGCAACCTTTTGCTTGGAGTTTTAATTCCAATGTGAACAGTTGCACAGACTTAATTAGAAAATGACAGAGCACTGCTGCTAGAGAGACAGCTGACACAAAGCATTCCAAGGTGGCTTGGACAAAGGTCAGTCAAAATCGCTTTCTTGCATAAACACCATAAATGCAAATTTCATCATTTTTATAGACTCAGATTTTCTGCGAGAACACATGTGCTTTTAGTCATCTATTTCTTCACATCCTCAAGTGTGAGAGATACATCATTTGGCTAGGAGACCCTAAACTAAACAACAGCTTGGGGGACTGAATCAATCTTGTTTCCCTATTTTTCTTATATTTACCCTTTTCACAGAGTTATTTCCACATTTCTTCTTTAAGATAACTGCTTATTCACTAGAGAAAAAAAAAGTTTCAGATAGCTGAAAGATTAGCAGAGAGAGATGAAGCTTGGTGCCTGGGAAAGGTTATCTCAATCCTGAATAAAACATAATTTTTAATGGAAGCTAAGCCAACTTATCTTGAATATGGAGATGAAAACTACAGAACCACTTGAGTAAACAGTGATGTCATAAAATGGCCACATGATATGTGCCAAGCGTCATTCTGAGGCCACAGCTGGTCATGAGATCAATAAATCCAAATGAAACCTGAAAGTCACTTATCCTTGTTTCTGCAGCAAGAGAACTAATGCAAGGAGAGAATGTTACAAGAGCATTTCACATGTGTAGCCATTCAGCCACTAATTATGGATGAGACTATTGCTTCCACAAACAGCTAGCTGCAGTGCCCTGCTGGGACTGGCAAAGGAGAGAGCTTGCTCTGCAGAATGGCTGTAGCTTGGCACCACAGTGTCAACATTTGGGGTTTCTCCGAGTAGAAAGCAGCCTTCTGAGCATGACAGATATTCCAGTTCTCTTAGAAACTACAAGAAATCTCCTCTGCTGCTGGGACCAGGCCCTGACCCGGGTGACTGCATTCCACCTTCTGTGGGTAGCCTGGCTCAGGTCCTTATTTATCTAAACCACCGCAGTTTGGGAGTCAGATATAAGGTTTCAGTTTATTCTTATCTCTGTTATGAGAGGTAGGCTTAGTCTGATGTGAGAAAACCTCACCAATTTTGGTTTTGCTCTGGTAGTTCGGGCATGGGATGGCTCATACCAGTGTTCCCTTATGACTAAACCTCAGTGGTTGGATGGGTGAGATGGTAACATTCCAATTTTAGTTAATTTCTGTTTATAAAACACAGATGAAACTGGCAATGGCCTTTTACCTTAAATGATGCTAATTTTTGCAACTGAAGTGGTAGAGCTTGTCAAAAAGTACTTGAGGATCTGGCATTTCTGATGTTCTCAAATGGAAGCTATACAGTCTCTGTTTTTTACATTAAACTTACCAAGAATTTCAAGCAGCAGAGAGTAGGATATGGTTTTTTCTTCGCTTTTATGAAAAATACTCTAGTGATTTATCCTTCGTGATTTGCTGAAACCTACAAAATCCTGCTGCAATTTGCCTCTGTGCAAGCTTACTCAGAAGAAACACACCAAGATTCAATTCTCCATTAAAAGCAGAAGAGTTTATAACAGCAAAGTTTATACAGTTTATAACAGCTATGCTTTATAATAGCAAATGTTATAAAGTCTTTAATAGAAAAAGCAAGAGGCAAGGGGCAAAATCCTTCTGAGGGAGAAGTTCAGTGTAGTCAGCAGAATTATCCCACAAAACTCAATCCTGTTTAGAAAAGTTGCCTTTTTCAGTGAGATTCTTCCCAGCATACCCAGTGGAAAAGTTGTTTTTGATGGGTTTTAACCAGTGGAGAAATCATCCTTTGTGTGGCAGGCCCTCAGGACTTTGGTGAACCACAGTCCTGAAGCCCATGCTTTCCTATGGTTAGATGATATAAATACCAAGTTTTAAAAAAGAGAAAAGTAGAGACAAGCTCTAGGAGCAGGGCTTAAATTTTCTATAAATAGTCACCTAAATATAGTGCAGCTATTTCTAAAACACAGAACACAGATTTTAACAAATAGACCTAAC